CGCGAGCCAGGAGGTGAGGCTGAGGAGCCTCACGCCGAGGGAGGCCCAGAGGGAAAAGACGCAAAACCGGGCCTTCTCAGCGGTGGCTCCTCGCCTTTGGAACAATCTCCCTCCTGAGATTTGCGTGGCCCCTACGCTGGGTACATTTAAAATTCAATTAAAAACATGGCTTTATGTCCAGGCCTTCCCTCCTGCCAGCACTTAATCTAATTTAATTTATCTTTCTCTTCTTTACCTATCTATTATTTATGATCATTGTTATGTTTGGTTTTATATTATTACTATGTTATATATCCTGTTGTTAGCCTCTCAGAGTGGTATAAATATACCAGATGGGTGGGATATAAATCAAATAAATAAATAAATAAATAATGTTGGATTCAGCCAACAGTAAAGCGGCACAGTGCCCGCTGCTTTACTGTGGACTGAATCCAATATTTCATGACAAAACTGTCTTCTCTTGCCTCCATTCTACCCTTTCTACTGCCTAAAAGGATTTCCAGAATTATTCAGTGCTTCTGAATATGTTTGGGTACACACTTCCCCCCCCTTAAACTGGATCCAGCTGTTCAAACAGTGGAGCACCTCTGTTGGATATTCCCACTATTCCATAACCAAAATGGGAAAGAAGACAAAGAATCTTATGACACTAACAGATTTACTTTAACGCGCAAGCTTTTGTGAATTACTAGCCACCTTTTTAAATGCAACGGAAAGGTGACCTTTTTATCAGGTTTGGCGGGGGGTGGGGAATAAATATATACTCTAGAGAAGTACAGTGAAATTATCCTAAGGCTGACATTTAACATGCAGTAAAACCTATCCGTATGATCCCTGTTTAAGAAAACGCCTACACCTCTGACCTTTCTTTGTATGTTGTTTAGGCTGACCCATATGCATTGAAGCCCACAGCTATCTCATTTGCAGCATAGGAAATTAAAGTAAAGAATGCGTCATGAAAGTAGAAAAGCAGTTGCAAACAGTGCTGCGAATTTCCTGTTGCCATGGTTTTGCTATTACTGCTGTTTTGACTGTAGGCAGCGGAAGGGGAAAATATTAAAATATGAAATATTGTAGAATATTTAAAAGCAGATTTGATACATTTAGAAACTGTGAATCAAAAGTACAAAATGGAAATTACATAATCCCTTTTGAATTTAAGTGACCTACCCCATCTCTGGTCCATCCCAGTCAATTTGCTTTACACTTCTCAGTTTTAGTGACAGGAGGTGGGCAAGTACTTAGCAAGGAAGAAATGAGAGGAAGGTCAAATATTGTTTCTTCTGTTAGGTATTGAAAGGCTTATTTTACCCTTGTGAAAATGCTGCTTTTCACAACTGCTTCACTTTTCTTAAATATTTTATTAGCGTAGACCATCTCCATTTAGCAAAAGACATTGGTTTTAATCTTCTGTATGAATAGGTACAAGACAGAGTGGATGTTTATACCTACAAATTGTATTAATGTATGTATTAATTGGTGCTTCAAAGGGCTACTAAGTTTATTTATTGCATTTAGCATGTACACTTTGCTTTTCAAATGGAGAGTGAGGGTGGAAATGTGTGTGTTTGTTCAGAAGTGTTTCATGTCAGCTATGGATAAGATTCCAGCCTGTTTTTTTTTTAAAGATTTAGATTTAGGCTTCCTTCAGTCTTGGCAGACTAAGGCAACATGCTCTGTATGGAGGACTCGGAACAGCGTCTAGTGTGGCTGACAAGGCCAATTCGAGAGTGACAATCCCTTCCATACTGAAGAAAAATCCAATCGGTCCCTTGTCCAGCTCCCTGATTTTGCTGCTTTTGTGACTTCCTCTTTGCCTCAGCCTGCTGGGCAAGGGTCTCTTCAAATTGGGAGAGGCTGTGATGCGGTGCCTCCCTCCAGGTTGCACGCTCAGATGTCAGGGTTTCCCATCTGTTGAGGTACACATTCCTAAGGTCTTCAGATCCCCCTTGCAGATATCCTTGTATCACTGTTGTGGTCTCCCTCTGGGGTGATTTTCCTGCACTAATTCTCCATACAGGTGAACTTTTGGAATCCGAGCATCAGCCATTCGCGCAACATGCCCAAGCCAATGTAGACGTTGCTGTTTCAGTAATGTATACATGCTAAAAATTCCAGCTCGTTCTAGGACTGCTCTATTTGGAACTTTGTCCTGCAAGGTGATGCCAAAAATGTGTCAGAGACAATGCATATGGAAGGTGTTCAGCTTCCTCTCCTGCTGTGCACAAAGGGTCAAGGACTCACCGCAGTACAGGAGTGTACTCAGGACACAGGCTCTATAGACCTTGATCTTGGTATATGACGTCAGCTTCTTATTAAGCTACTTTACCAGTGCATTTATCCAGCTCGACATCTAGGGAGAGGGTGTCCGAGATCCTTGAGCCAGGGTACCCAAATTCATGAACAACCTCAAATTCTTGCATGGAGATGATAATAGAGGGAGGTGAGTCCATACCCTGGCCCATGACTTGTGTTGTCTTCAGGCTGATTATTAATCAAAAGTTTTGGCAGGCCTTGCTAAAGCGATTGTTGGAGGTCTTCAGCAGAGTGGGCAACATTGGCTGCATCATCGGCAAAGAGGAATTCCCACATGCATTTCAGCTGGACTTTGGTCTTCGCTCTCAGTCTAGAGAGATTAAAGAGCTTTCCATCTGATCTAGTCCAGAGATAGACACCTTCTGTTGCAGTTCCAAAGGCATGCTTCAGCATGATAGCAAAAAAGATCCCAAACAGGGTCAGTGTGAGGACACAGCCCTGTTTCACTTCGCAGATGTCAAAGGGATCTGATTTTAAGCCATCAAAAACTACAGTGCCCTTCATTTCCTCATGAAAGGACCTGATGATGTTAAGGAGTCAAGGTAGACATCCAATCTTGCAAAATATTTTAAAAAGGCTGTACCTGCTAACCAAATCAAAAGCCTTTGTAAGATCTATGAAGGCCACAAAGAGTGGTTGTTGTTGTTCCCTACATTTCTCCTGCAACCATCTGAGGGAGAATACCATGTCAGTGGTGGACCTGTTAGCTTGAAATCCACACTGTGATTCTGGATGGACTCTGTCTGCAAGCACCTGGAGTTTATTCAGCACAACACGGGCAAGCAGCTTCCCGACAACACTGATAAGAGAGATGCCATGGTAGTTATTGCAGTTGCCCCTGTCACCTTTGTTCTTTTACAATGTGACGATGTTTGCATCTTTCATGTCCTGTGGTACTCCACCTCCCATCCAGCAAAGACAAAAGATTTCATACAGCTCAGTGGCGATGATATCTTTACAGGACTTCAGCAGGAATATTAACCTTCCCAGTTTCCTTGCCGGAGGTGAGGGAATCCAAGGTCGCTTTTATTTCTGCTGTCCAACTCTTCCAAGACAGGCAGGCATTCGATGTTATTTAATGCCTCTTCGGTTACTACATTCTCTCTGGAATATACGTAGCTCAGAGTAGTGCTGCACCCAGCTGTGCTCGGTCCTGGATGATCACGCCTGTAGCAGACTTCAAGGGAGCAGATTTCTTTTCTATTGGACCTAAAGCCGGCTTGATACCGTCATACATTCCCTTGATATTACCTCTGTCCACTGCTATCTGTATCTGAGAGCAGAGTTGAACCCAATAATGGTTAGAACATCTCCTGGGAGCCTGTTGGACTTTGCTACGAGCAACTCAAAGAGCCTGCAAGTTGTACTCACTGGACAGGTGTTTTTTTTTAAAGACGAACTAATATAATAATGGTACATGTTCTTGACGGTGGTGGTTGACAGAGTTGCAGTATTACTAGGATGTGCTAGGTGGCACTAACCAGTAGAATTCCCCAGAAAGATGAAGACACCAAGCAGGGTTGATAGCAGAAAAGTTGTATTAACTCAATTTGTTTGTAGAATATATACATACACATACAGCTTTGTCCTTATTTTCAGTCCCGTAGTCATACACAGCAGTTCCAACAGAGTTCAGGCATAAATCACGTCAAAGTCCTTGTAAATCAATTCAGCAGTCATATACCATATAATTCAGTCCAGCAGTCAGAGTCCTTCTCCAGTATTCTCCACGACAACACAACACCTGCCATGATCACAACACAGCACCTTCCATGACCACAACACCGCAGAGTGTGTGTGTTGAGTCTGCTTGCTTTATCCAAGGGTTAGCCAATTCTGGGATTTCTTTCTCAGCTGATGCAAGTCTTGCATTACGCCAGATCATTGATTCTTACAATTACTTATATTCTTTGAGTGCTTTATACAAAACTGGATTTAACAATTTATCCAGGTTTATCTCAAACCTGTCAGTGGTGATCATTATGATAAAATTCCCTTGCTCTTTCCCCCAAAATAAAGAGTGAATTATGTTGAATGCTCACTTGAAGAAGTTAGGACAGAGCTATTTTGTGTCTGGCAAATGTATTTATAAGTATATCAGTTTGCTTTACACACAGTTTGAACATTGGTCCATCTAACTTATTTTTGTTCACTACTGCATTCAAATCTGTTAATTTTCTCCTGTTTTTGAAGTTACAGTTGTATTTGTATAGCAAAGCAAGGACTAATAGAATAAAAGTATCTAGACTTGTAGATAATTTAGAGCAGTGATCCCCAACCTTTTCTGAGTTGCGGACTGGTTGGTGGGGTGGGGTCTGTTTGTAGGGGTGGGGCGCGCATGAACAAAGAGGCGGGGCATGCTCGTGGAGGGGAGGGGCACCTGTGCGTGTGGGTGGTAGGCCATGTGGGTGGGTGGAGTGTGTAGAGGGAGGCGGGAGATCTATCTCCGCAGCCTGGTCCTGCCATGGCCACAGACCGGAACCAGGCCACAGAGTGGAGGTTGGGGACCCCTGTTTTAGAGGACTGGTTCCTCATGGAAAGCCTTAAATCTGCGGAGAAGGACCATTTTACAAGTACATATCGTTGGCCATATTCAATTACAACAAGCCACACACATTGCAGGAAATTGTTGCATATTTATCAGCAACAAGCTAGCACATTTCCGAAGTGCTGTTGCTTGTCTTCACCCACCAGTAGAAATGCCCAAATTAAACCAAAAACCGAGTGTGTCATATTTTGGGACTCATGAATTTGCAACCTCTCTGGCTAGGTAGAATCTGAAGCCAGGGGATTTGGGGCAGAAAGGCAGGAGTTTCTTATTTTCTTAATCCTGGCTTCTTTGGGACGGGGAAAATGCAGAGTCCTGAATAAGTCATTAAAATACATCTGCACAACAGGTAACCTCCTAGGCTGAAAATAGGTTACTGAATGTATGGCATTCCCCAAATGCTCACTAAATTTTCTTCATTTTGCTGTTTGCCAGGAACTGCAAAACGACTCAATATGTAAGTATCTGACACACAAGAATCTGTGCTTAGGTTGGTTGAAAACAGGTTGCACAGTTCTGCATTAATGTCTCCATTTATTCATAGGCTAATGTTGGCTCCCCCTCCCCCACTTGGTGTATTGCTGATGAAGGAGCCTTGTGGTGCAGTCGTTAAACTGAAGTACTTTAGTCAAAACTCTGATCACACTCTTTCATTTGCCAACTCTTGACTTAGCCTTGTATACTTCTGAGGTCGGTAAAATGGGTACCCAGCTCAATGGGGTGGGGGCAATGTGTAGCCTGCATAATTAAAAATTGTAAACCATTCAGAAAGTGTTTTGAGCACTGCAGGATGGTATATAAGCAGCACACTTTGCTTTGCTTTTTTGTGCACCAGCACACTTGTGCAGGTAACACAATTCTGCATTACTACACTAGTGGAAACTTTAGGATATCTAGTTCTTGACTGTCAGGTACAAGCAAAACAAAAATGAAAAAATAAAGAAGGCAAAAACATTGTAGCACCTTAAAGACTAACTTCTATATTTTAATGGGAGCTTTCATGGACAAGTCCATTTCCTCCGTCTAGTTCTAGACTGTCATCCTTTTTTGCCTTTACTTCTGCTTCTCTTTCTCCTAAAACATGTAGTCCAACTTACCTTTTTCTGTCAGTGGGAAGAGGGAATGATTAGGGTCTCAGCTTCAACAAACTGTCAGTTAATATCAGTATGAATCAGTATGGACTGAACTACTCATATATAAAGAACCATTTTCTAGCTGCTGCTGCAAACTGCAAGTCCATTAGTAAGTTAAACATGAATATCTATTTCCGTAATAAACCTGAGCAGGATATGCCTCAGACTAGTAGATAAACTATCTATGTTTCAGAACGGGTTACTGTGCAAAAATAGGGTTGCTATTCAAGAAATGCAAGTCTGAGGAGTTTGGAACTAGTAGAGTCACTACCATTGTACTTGCAGTAGTTTAGCCCATATAGAGCATGTTACCATAGTCTCTCGAGACTGAAGGATGCCTAATCTAAGTTTAGTACTATGAGTATGTATTTAGAGAGAAAAACTGCTAAATGCTAAAATCTGCAGCATTACAAATTAAATTCTGCCACCTTTTTGTACCATGTCCCTTTTCTGGTTGTAAAATGATGTTAATAATATTGTATTCATTACAGTGCACTTAGTATATGTATTTAGAAATCTACTTAGTGTTTGTATCATTAACGTCTGTTTTGAAATGAACGTTAACCATATTTGTGTTTAGTCTGAAATGCTCTTAAACAGCTTTGTAGATAATGTAAAGTTAAACTGCAATCACCAATTGGATCTTTCTTCTATTATTTGAATTGCAGCTGACTCAACTGGCACCCACTCTCTTTATACAACATACAAGGAGTATGAAATCATGTTCCACGTTTCCACCATGCTGCCGTACACACCGAACAACAAGCAGCAGGTAGGATCCATTTTCAATATGTACAGAATTTCACTGACCTATCCAAGATAAGCCCCTTTTTAAAACTGTGCAAATGAGCAGAAACATGGTCAAACATGGGATGGGCAACCACCAGGGCATACAGTCATCTGTGGATCTTAAAAGGACCATACCTAGCTCCTCCCCTCTACTCCCTCTCAAACTATTTTTCTTTTATAAGGCATTTAGAAACTGAAAAGGGTCCTTCATGCTCTCTAGTGGTCATCTTTATATATACATTCACGTATGTGTGGGGAGAACATGGCAAAAATGCTTCCCATGGTTCAAGGGCACAAGAGGAATTTTTGAGCCAGCTTTTAAAAACTTTTGGTGTTGGGATGTTAGGATCCCCTGGGATGCTGCCAGTAAAATCATCCTGATGGCATCAGTTTCACTAAGTAAAGACTTGCCTCAACCATCATACAGATCACAACTGTTTCCTTAGAATGAAAATGGTGGCACAGGAGTTTCAGGATCTTCAAGGAGAAATCAGAAATTTTTGATTTCTGAGAAATCACCACTGCTTACCTCTTCAGCCTTATTCCGCATAATGTACTCATTAAGATTTCAGCGATTTGAATTCAGAATTTGGAGGCACATATCTGGAATTTGTGTCTGACTTGTTGGAGAAATGTAACTGTTGATAATTCATGGATCTAATATTTGATTGCATTTTTAGCATACATCTGGAATAGGTTATTTATTACTCAAACATGGTTACGCTTATTTATAACTAGTTTGTATCACAATGGCTATTTCTTATCAATATTTATCAATTGCATGAGAGTAGGCCCATTGATTAAATGGATTTGGTGAGTCAGCTGCTCTGTAAATTCCATTGATTCAAGTGGGCTCATTCTAATAGTGACTTTAGTATAGTGCTGTTTACTATGCTAAGTAACAAGATCTTGGTCTTTTATAAGAATGTTTTAAGTTTACTACAGCAAAGAATTTTTTTAAAATGAAGTAAGACAAATAAGAAACAGCCATCTGTCTGGGATGGTATGAGATCCAGGATGGTATGAGGTCTCCTGCCTTGGGCAGGGGGTTGGACTAGAAGACCTCCAAGGTCCCTTCTAACCCGATGATGATTCTACGATTCTATGAAGAAAGCTGAGAAACAAAAATTGCTTGCTAATGCTGCCCTTGTCAGATACAAAGTACAGTTTAATATGCTGAAGGATATTGCCTGCTTTACAACCATTTACATTTTATAATGTTTGGAAGAAAATTCCAAGTAGGCATACAACGTAAATTATATTACCATAAATTTGATTTTAGTAGCAAAAATCTAGCCCATACAAAGAGATTTGTATTAAAATAGAATCGAAATTGTTGTTATGGAAACTAGGGTTACAAAATACTAGCAGTTTGTTTCATCATGTCAGATGCTGGCAAATTTCTCACTTATTTGCCCAGATATAATCTTAATCCCACAAAAGCTTTGAATGGAAAAAAAACATTTTATGATTTGTGATTAAATTAAAGAATTAATAAAGTGGAGTAACAAACAGTATGTTGTAAGAAGATTGGTATAGTATATATATAATGCTAAGATTTCTTGCCTTCACTCACACAGCTCTTAAGAAAACGGCATATTGGAAATGACATTGTGACCATAGTTTTCCAAGAACCTGGAGCAGAGCCATTCAGCCCAAAGAATATTCGTTCTCACTTTCAGCATGCCTTTGTTATTGTCCGAGTGCACAATCCTTGCACTGACAATGTCTGTTACAGGTAATTATTTATACAGGCTGACTGTATATTGGGTTGTTTTGTGCTTCATTTTATAACGTCTTTTACTACTGATTATTGGGGAAATTATTTCAGCACTCGTGTCAAGAACCTAGCAGACTAAGGGCCCTGTAGCACTTCTAGGTTCCTCACAGGGAAATAGGTAATATAGGATTCAGAAAGTTTAAAACCAGCAATAGTGGCCTTACCATGAGACAGTGTGGTAAAAATGTTTGCGTGGATTTCATATTGCCTGCTGAGGAGATTGTTTTTTTTGTATCCTGCCTTTCTCCCAGTAGGGAGACTGAAGGCAGTGCCCAACTGTCTTTAAAAAAATGAATATAGCTGAAAACCACAGTATGGTGTAGTATTAAAATTTAATTGATATATAAACATCAGTATATTTCAAATTTAAATTAAAACTGAAAATTGAATCAAAAAACAATTTAAAACATTTAGAGAAGAAAAAAGGAAAATTGACTTCCTCATCAGCCGGTTGTCAGTTGCCAAAACCTGCTTCAATAAAAAAGTCTTTACTTTCCAGTAAAAGATTAGGCACCCTAGCTTTTTTTGGCAGGGAATTCCACAGCCTGGAAGCAGTCTCTGAGAAGTTCCTGTCTGGTGTCCCCTTCAAACATGCTTGTAGGAGCAACGAGTCTGAGAGAAGGCCCTAATAGTCATAGTACAAATACTCAGTCTGTTAATCCTGGCATGCATTAATTCCATGGCATTTAGAAGAAAATATGAAGATCTAAATATAAAAAGTCATTATTTAGCAAATGGAAAGAGAGACTGGAAACCAAGGGTACAAAATAACCAAGTGGGTGCTGGTTGTCACATATTGTTTATATGCATGAATCTTATTTTTAATTCAAATGTAAAGAGCAAAATTTTTAATTCAAATGTAAAGGGCAAAAGATGCATTCTCAAAAGATATCTATACATTTCCCGCTCTGAAAACATGCAAATCATATAGATTTACTCAGTCACATTCGGAGCACTTCTGATAGTCATGAAAGACTAAAGAGGTTTACTTTTTCTGAAGAAATGAGACAGAGGAATGCTAATGGTTGTTTGTGTGGCTTGTTTCTCCCTTGTGTAAATGAGTTAGAGGATTTGAGAAGGCTGTTTGAGAAACTCCCAACCAGCAATTGTACTGTTATTTGAGATAAGACCTTTTATTGGGGATTGGGAAGACTCGGGCTTATTGGTTGTGGTGGTTATTGTTTCCAGAAAGTCACAAAAGCAATGGATGCAATTTTGATTGATTGACACAAACACACACTCTGCCCCATTAGTGATATGCATTATTCTGGGCAGTTTACAGAAGTTAAAACATGATAATAGAATGTCGGGGAGCTGAAAGACCACAGAACTTCAAGAGGCATAAAGTGTAAAAATAAAATGCGTAATGTAAGGCATATAAACAAAACTATCAAACAGGAGAAACAGAAAAGGGAAAAAAAATAAGGGGAAAAAGGCCTCTCTGTAAAGCAGTATTTTTAAATTTATTTATTTTATTTATTTATTTGATTTGTATCCTGCTCATCTGGTCTGGTCGACCACTTAAATGCCTTTTAAATGTGGGGAGGGAGGGAGCCAGGCACAGCTCTACTGGAAGTTGATCCCAACGTATTGGCGGCACAGCAAAGAAGATGCTTCTATTGGTGACTGATTTCCTGGTCTCATTTGGAGTGGCTGCTCTAGGGGAGTCTTTCATTAAGACAGAGGATTTAAAATCTCTAAATTTCCATTCCTCAGTGACCCAGTAGGCTACCCCAGGTGACACCTAAGACCATTACATCATCTGAAGATTTATTCTTTTACCTGCCAAATCCTTGTTCCATCATATTGCAGAACAACTACAAAGACTTAAGATCAGCTTTTCTCCCTGTCTTCCATTTCTCCTCCCACCCACCCCCATGCTGCTGACTTTTAATATGTTGCCTGATGAAGAGAGAACATTCCTGAAAGCTTATAAAGTACATCTTTGTGTGCCTCTGCACACTTTTTGTGCCTCTTTGGTTGACCTATAAATATATCTTGAATATGAAGTTCAGCATGTGATTTGTCTGTATAGTTAGCCTTGCTGCTGTTTTTATACTGGAACTCCTTGTTGCTGGAGAACACTGCAAAGTCTGAAACCCAAGCCTCATATAAAAGCCTCACATTAAATGGAGACCTAAAGTATAAGTGCAGTTTTAATTCTAGATGTTAGTTTACCAGCTTAACTAGAAAGAATCTGTATGAAAAATATGGCCAATAGTGATCACACTCCTTCCCAGCTGCCGCTGTTTCTCTTCTCCTTCCCATAACTGGTTGCTTCTTCTTTCTTTACTTGAGTTTCCACTTCAGTTGTAACTTATCCCTGTGGTCTTACTTCTAGGCATGCATATAACAGAGGGAAAAATTAGTTCACTTATAGTATCAGTTCCTTTACTTTGGACCTCTTTTCTCTCTTTGTCCAGCACTATTTCCCCACAGATTAGGAAAAGTTAGTACTGTATTGTCTTCTTTTGTAGATCCTGTGGCAGGGAGTATGAGTTCTTTCCACCCAATAATATATTGCACCATTTCCAAAACAAAGTCTGTTGCCTCTTCTTTCCTCTTAACTTTTTAGATAGTGCATCTTCTGCATTCTTAAGGTATTCAAGGTCCACATCATTTAGGTTAGTGATCCCAGAATATGATAGAAGGTCTGTTAAGATACTGAAGGAGTGATGAAGTACCTTCGTTACAGACATTCATATTCGGTCATAACTGAAGTCAACAGAAGAGCAGTTCTTCAGAACAAAGTTCAGATCACCTGACCTGTCAAACAAACAAAAAAACCCAGAAGGAACTGCTGGCAGACTTTGGAAATCTCTTCAAAGAGAAGCCTGACAAAGGGCTATGTCTAATGACCTTCGGCCAACAGGCAAAATATGTTCTTGTTATTTATGCCTTTGCCCCTTTACTGTTCTGTGAATGTATTTTCTTCATTTCGAGCTGGTTGTTTATATTACTTGTATTCTTCTTTTTATGGGGTCTTTTCTGCTTAGGCCGGAATTTTGCATGGGGGCAAAAAAAGTGTATGAAAGGGTAATTGTGAAGTACTTTCCCCTCCTGTGTGAGATGTTCACTGTGCAGCCAGTCACACAGCAGTTGCAAAATCAGTCATGCAACAGATACCCCATCGAGAGGAGCAAACTGTTTACACAGTTACCTTTCTGTGTGGTATTTTCCCCAACAGAAGTATTGGTATTTTATTGTTGTTTTGTTTTCCACTGTTGTAACCCACATTAAAGTTGTCACACTAGGCCATCTAAAAAGACTATCTCGTTGAAGAAGTATTTCAGTTCAGACTAATAAGAACACAGTAGATGGTTTGCTGACTAACAAGTCCCTGCTGGCGGACAAACCTAAGAAGCTCTTAATGGTTTAGAACCTTGATACTTGTCAGAATGTCAGTAACCTGTCCCACCTTCTCCTCATAGTCTGTGATGTTAAAAATTGTGACACTGAAGGAGGCCAAAAGAGTCAACACAAGGAGTCGTCATTTTTCAGTCATGGCCCTTTCCTTTTGAAGTAAACTTTCAACACAGACCCGTCAGGCACATATTACCTCTCCATTTTAAAGAAAATAATAGAGCATTTATAATTCAATGCTACCTTTTATTATCTACTTAAGATGCTCAAATCAGTTTTAATTTGTGTAATTTTATTGAAAGTTATATTTTAGTTAGAGATAGGTTTTTATCTATTTTGTGTATTGTTGGGTGTTTTTGTATTTATACATATTTTTAACATGTTGTGAACTGCCCAGAGAGTGTATGCACTGTGGGGTGGTATACAAATGGAAAAAAACCCACAAATTTCAGTAGTTTACAAATTGCCAGTGATAACCTGAAATACTTCATTGCACTGTATTCAATAAATAATAGCATTAATTCGTATCTTCTTTATATTTCCTAGTGTTGCTGTGACAAGATCCAGAGATGTGCCATCGTTTGGACCACCTATCCCTAAAGGCATCACCTTTCCCAAATCAAATGTGTTCAGGGACTTTTTGCTAGCTAAAGTGATCAATGCTGAGAATGCAGCTCATAAATCAGAGAAGTTCCGTGCCATGGCCACCCGAACCCGTCAGGAATACTTGAAGGATCTGGCAGAAAAGAATGTCACAAATACACCAATTGACCCTTCTGGAAAATTCCCCTTCATCTCACTTGCCTCTAAAAAGAAGGAAAAGTCCAAGCCTCTTCCAGGAGTAGAACTCCACAGTTCTGGTGCTATTATTTGGAGTCTTCGTGCTAAAGACTATTGCAAGGGCATAGATATAGACTGTCTCCTAGCCATCTCTAATGAATTTGCTGTTATCATTGAACAGGATACAAAGAGTGTTGTGTTTAATTGTTCCTGCAGAGATGTAATAGGGTGGACTTCAACAGACACAAGTGTCAAAATTTTCTATGAAAGAGGTGAATGTGTTTATGTGGAAAGTTTCAAAAACCCTGAAGATATCAAAGAGATTGTCAAAAGGCTAGAGGTTAGAGATCTTTCTCCATCTCTCTTTCTCTCTCTCTTTCTCTTTCTCTCTCTTTCTGTCTTTCAATATTTAGATCTAGTCTTCAGGCATGAGTAAATTCAAATAACTGCCGTGAAAGCAAATAAAAATGGTTGGTTCCATTTTGCTCCCAGTTACAACCTCCTAGAACAAGAGAATTCACCAATTTGTGATGTCACTGGGTCACATCAGTAATGGGACTTTTCTGATCTTCTTCCCACTTCCCAAAATTGCAAACTGACTGTGAAAAGAAAATCCTTTGTCATGTATTCCTTTTTTTTCATATGTAAGCGGAGACTTTTGGATAGTGTAATATTAGTATCTAGGTATTGTTCAACAGATATATATATAGATAATGTTCTTGTTTTCATAATAAGAGAATGGCAATTCTCTGTACCATGAGGGAAAACATTATCTTTTTTTTTCTTTTCTGTTCAGAGGTTTTATTAGCAAGATCCTTTAGGGAAATAGAATGACATAGTCAGTAAAAGAGGACAATAGCGAGAGTATTGTTGCAGCATAGCCAGATCATAACACTGTGTTCACAGTGCTCCACATTCTCCAGCTTGCGGTCACACCAACTGAGAAGTTGGCCTGTTGAAACCAGGAGGGCATGTATTTGTGCAAGAAGGCAGGGGAAGCCTCCTTGTGCAATCTCATCCAAGTGGAATTGCTCGTGCACCAGGTTGTGTAAACTAGGCAACAAGATTCTGTGAAACAGATAGTGTGTAACACTTCCTTGAGTACAGTGGTACCCCACTTGAAGACGAATCTGCTTTATGATGAATTTTTTGCGATCGCTATTGCGATCGCAAAACAATGATTCCTATGGGGTTTCCCGCTTTACGATGATCGGTTCCCTGCTTCGGGAACCGATTTTTCACTTAACGATGGTTTTGAAACAGCTGATTGGTGGGTCGCAAAATAGCCGCCCGCTGTGCAAAATGGCTCCCCGCTGTGTTTAGGACTGATGCCTCGCTTTACAGACACCGGAAAATGGCCGCCCTATGGAGGATCTTAGCTGGACAATGAGGTATTTCCCCCATTAGAACACATTAACCGGTTTTTAATGCATTCTAATGGGTTTTTTACTTTCGCTTGATGATGATTTCGCTGTACAGCGATTTTGCTGGAACGCATTATCGTCAAGCAGGGCACCACTGTATTTGATGTGTATTGTTCATTTAGTATTTCTGGGAGCAGAAAATTAAAGTTCATTCTTAGAGTACCTCGGGGAAAACAGAAATCTCCCGAGGGGTTAGATATGGCCTCCGGGCCACACTTTGCCCACCTCTGTTCTGAACAAAGTATTGTACTCCCCAAATCCAATTTATTTTCTTTCCTTTTTTTTCTTTTTTGTTTTCAGCTTGTAACAAAGGGCTGTGAGTCAGTGGAAATGACTTTACGTCGGAATGGTCTTGGCCAGCTTGGCTTCCATGTGAACTATGAAGGAATTGTGGCAGATGTTGAACCCTATGGCTATGCTTGGCAGGCTGGATTGCGGCAAGGCAGCAGACTAGTGGAAATCTGCACTGTAGCTGTAGCTACTTTAAGTCACGAGCAAATGATTGATCTCTTGCGGACATCTGTTACTGTGAAGGTTGTCATTATCCCGCCACATGAGGATTGTACCCCACGAAGGTATGGAGGCAATGCATGAGTTAATGTCTTGTGTTGACTTCTCTCAGGTTATTATTTCAATACTGTCACATAGACTCAGTCTAGTCTCTTCAGATGAAGAGTTGTTTTAGGTCTACAGCCTTCCAGTTCAAATCCACATGTATAACAGAATTTACAAGAGGTTTTAAATAATCCAGTTTATGATGCAATTTACTTTGTATAAAAATTGGTCCCCTTTTACATTCATTTGTCCACTAAGACAGAACTGAAAGTGCCTATTGTTCCTTTTTTTTTTTAAATCTTGGAAGCTTGTAAATTTCGGATTCTATGAGATTGTTATTTTATCACGTTATTGATACTTTGTATCCCATTGGATTGCTCATTGTTTGTGAAAAATTGCCTGTTGAGAGATAATAAAACACATGCAGCCCTTGAATATTCTTTGCAGTGAAATGGAAAGTTGCAGTAATTAATTAAAATATTAAGTAAAATAATTAAATACTTAATTTCTATGTAACATATTTTCCCTTCCTTCCTGTATACTGAATTAGATCATTTAGGCTACATTTTCTGGGAGCATGACCCATATAATTCAGTGTAATTACTGATTACATAGCCGTATTTGGGATTATATGTTAGCCCAGACTTCTTGCTTTTAAAAAGAAATGCAGAAAAGGCTATCATTGGAGAAGAATAAAATTCCTCCTTTGCTTGTTCAGTTAAAAAAGAAGAATGAAGGAAGATAAGACTAAAGGAAGGAAGGAAGGAAGGAAGGAAGGAAGGAAGGAAGGAAGGAAGGAAGGAAAGGGGAAAGGGGAAAGGGGAAAGGGGAAAGGGGAAAGGGGAAAGGAAAGGAAAGGAAAGGAAAAAGGAAAGGAAAGGAAAGGAAAAAGGAAAAGAAAGGAATCATTAAAGTATACAAAAAACAGTCAGTTAAATAGAATATTTTCATGAAATCTTACAAGAGACTCTGTAAATATTTGATTTATACCTGCCCCCAAGTACTCCAAATACCATGTAAAAAGCCTCTAGGGCATTTCCTCATAATAGGATAGAGGAGTCTGTTATGTTCTTCTCTGTGGAGACTTCTTTCCTTGTTTCTCAGTTGCCTTGCTCTTTCTTTCCAATTTACAGAAGTTTTTCGGAAACTCATCGTATGCCAGTAATGGAATACAAAATGAATGATGGTGGAGTTCCTTATGAGTTCAAATTCCCCTTCAGAAATAATAACAAATGGCAGCGAAATGTCAACAAGGGACAGGGGTCTCACATGCAACAGTTACCATCACAGATGCAGAGTCCAATTACCACGAGGGGTGCCTCAGGGAAAAGTGAAGGGAAAATGCCTCCTCCAGAGCGAGCAGCAAACATTCCACGCAGCATTTCTAGTGATGGGCGTCCACTGGAGAGTAGGAGGTAGGTGTGTGTTGCCTCTCCTCTAGTGCAGGTTACAACATTCTGACACCAAAATAATAAAGAATATTTTAGTAACATTGAAAGAAGAAAAATAATATCACTTAGCCACAAAGATAAAATTCTAGTCCAGCAAGCTTTGACTGAAATGTTCAAGAATGCATGCACTTTCACAATATATTTAAAATCTAAAATTAAAAAAAGAACACTAAAATGATTGTTAGCAGGTATACAAATGAAAAATTGGTTGGCTTTTTTTAAAAAGCAGAAGCAGGCAGCCTATCAGTCTATGGGAAGAAAACAAAATGGACTGATGGACAATAGTTTTAATAGAAACAACTAAAGTAGTGGTTCCCAACCTTGGGTAACCCGAGTGTTCTTGGACTGCAATTCCCAGAGCCCTTCAGCGTTGGTTGTACTGGTTGAGGTTTCTGGAAGTTGCAGTCCAAGAACACCTAGGTTACCCAAGGACAGGAACCACTGAAGTAAAGGATCAAATTTGTGGAATTTTGGTTTAGTCCTGATAAATAAGTTGTCTGCCTGTGGAATTTTTTTTTAAGCATCAATTTAAGACATGCCATTTCAATTCTCCTGTGTCTGGAGGAAGTACGTCTTCGTGTCCACCTACTTGATTTGCTTTATGTTTTAAAAGTTCTTTTTCCTTGTGATCCCTTTCCTTAACTGTACCAGGTGACTGAGGAAATGAAATTGAGGAATGAATACAGATACACAGGGTAAAAAAGAATGGTAGGAAATATGCTTAAAGAAATGTGAAATTGGTTGTTGTGGGTTTTTTGGGCTCTTTGGACGCGTTTTGAAGGTCGTTCTTCCTAACGTTTCGCCACTGTCCTCTGAAGATGCCGTCCACAGAGACTGGCGAAACGTTAGGAAGAACGACCTTCAGAGCACGGCCAAAGAGCCCAAAAAACCCACAACAAACATTAGATCCCAGCCATGAAAGCCTTCGCAAATACAAATGTGAAATTGTTTATATTTAGGACATTTAGTTCTCCATCCTTGTGTTAATATTCCTGCATTACATTTTAATGGGTATTGAAATCAATGCATATATTAAAATCAACATGTGTTGATCATATTAAATGATTTGGATTTGTGCATCTTAAATACTAGTTGAGGCCGTAGGAAGCCAAGATTTAAAGTACGTGAAGAAAGCAGACAATTGAATGCAAAGCTACAGTAGAGTAACAGTGTGCGATCTAAACCTGAATTGAGTAAAAATAACAATAGTTCCAGGACAATTTTTCTTCTGTTTCCACTCTGTATTTATTTCTAGAGAAATGTCAGTATTGTTTAAGGTGCCAGTAAGGTTATTGGTCCCCTTCACGGATTGCTGCCTTGATGTGGCGAAGGGGCTTGAGTCATTTAGAGAAGCTATGGGCTATGCTGTGCAGGGACACCCAAGACGGACAAGTCATAGCGGAGAGTTCTGACTAAATGCGATCCACCTGGAGCAGGAACTGACAAGCCAGTATCTTTACGAAGAAAACTCCACAGACAGAAACAAAAGGTTAAAAGATACGATGCTGGAAGATGAGCCTCTCTCACACAGATTTCTTTTTTGTGGCAGAAAATGATATTGAGCTTTATCTGTCCTAGTTCCTTTCTCCCTCTCAAAGAGCAGGGGTTTACCACTGAAAGTAATTTGAAATAGAAAATAAAAGTTATTCCTTTCTGCATTAAACAGTTTTAATGGCCTTTTTGGTTCTGCTCAGGTCAGCCAGTAATATTTATTTGACCATGACACTTCTAAAACTGCTTGATTTGCCCTTTTCTTTCTGTGTGACTTGTACTTTGTAATCTGTTGTAATTTTGCTGTTGCCAATGAAAGGTGTAACCTTTTGTTATAATAGCAAACCTGACAATGAGACAGGGTTTGAAAAATGCTTTGTGGGCAGGGCTTGCAAATAGCATGCTGATTACCTGGGAATAAGCTCTGGTAAATGCAGTTGGTTGTTATCCAGTGTTGTTAGCAGAAAGCACTTGACTTGCACCAGAGGGGCATTCATTTTTCACCAATTCACCCTATTCCTTTGAGGTCCCCCTCAACAAAAAATTGCTTCTGAAAATTGGGGGATCCTCTAGGGAAAAATGGATATTTAAGTATGGGACACAGAAAGGGTACAGTAGGGAATGGGGAGATAAGCAAAAATAAAAAACTCTTTTTTTGCAGAAGTAGAATTCCATTTTTCACTACCACAAAGCTACTGTTGGTTATAAGCCCTTAGTATTTAAACATGTCAGCTGTAAAACACAAAACTAGAAATACAGTGGTGCCTCGCTTAGCGAAGAAATCGCTTAGCGACGGGATTTTTGTTATCGCTTTGCGATGGTCCCTATGGGGTTTTTTCGCTTTGCGATGATCACGGGGAAGTGATCATCGCAAAGCCCCCATTTTCGGTCAGCTGAGCGGTGGCTTCAAAATGGCCGCCGGAAAAACAAAATGGCCGCCCGTTGTTTTGCCTCACTTTAGAGGCAGCGAAAATGGCAGCGCTATGGAGGATTTTCGCTTAAGGTGAGTTTTTAAGCCCATTGGAACGCATTAATCGCTTTTTAATGCGTTTCTATGGGCTTTTTAATTTCACTTAGCGATGAAATCGCTTAGCAACGTTTTTCCCAGAACGGATTAACGTCGCTAAGCGAGGCACCACTGTACTCTCCTTTAACAGTAGACTTCTGATTTTCCATTGATCCTTATATATACCCAACTCATCATGTAACTATAGCTAAGGAACAGTGTAGAGTCGGAAGGGTATTGTAATCTATGCAACAATGTATTTCTCAGGTACAAATGTGAAGCAAAAAGCCCTTGGGCACAGAAGCAGCAAGTAAAATAAATACAGTACTGTATTTAAAAGAAACCTAGGCAGACGAACTACACTGACAGAAAACACATATTTCAGGACAATTTTTTTTATTTTATAAAATAAATCTGGTTACATAAGAATATAAGAGCCCTGCTGGTCCAGCTTCCTGTATCTCAAAGTGGCCCCACCAGATGCCCCTGGGAGTACACAAAACAACTAGATACCTGTCTCCTGATAACCCTCTTCTGCCTCTGGCATTTGGAGGTACCTTCATTTTAATCTTGGAGATTATACATCCCCATCATGGCTTGTAACCTGTGATGGACTTTTCCCCCAGAAATCTGTCCAATCCCCTTTTAAAGGCATCTAGGCAAGATGCCGTCATCACATCCTGGGGCAAACATTTCCACAGACTGACAACACACTGGGTAAAGAAATCTTGGTTGTTTTATTTTCAATCCCCTTTTTAATGATGCATAGAATCATTTTAATGATGCAAGAATTGGCCTTCTTCACTGCTGCGGCACACTGGGCTGACACTTTCATCGAGCTGTCCACCAGCACACCCAGATCTCTTTCCTGATCCATCACGGACAGCTCAGAAGGCATTAGCTGATAAATAAGGTTTTGATTTTTTTGCCCCAATGTGCATTACTTTACATCTCCTTATATTGAAACACATTTGCCATCTGGCCACCCATTCTTCCAATTTGGAGAGATCCTTCTGGAGCTCTTGATAATCCCTTCCGGTCTTCACCACCTGGAAACCGGTTAAGAAACTCAGTTCCTTAACCGCACAGAGTAGACTTTTGGTCTGGATGGGCGGGATAGAAATCCAATCAATCAATCAATAAATACAAGTTTCATGCCATCTGCAAACTTGGCCACCTCAGTGCTTATCCCTGTCTCCAGGTCATTTATGAATAGGTTGAAAAGCACCAGTCCTGTGACAGATCCCTGGGGCACACCGCTTTTCACCTCTCTCCATTGTGAAAATTGCCCATCGACACCTACTCTCTGTTTCCCGAATCTCAACCAATTCTCAATCCAGAAGAGGACTTGCCGTCTTATCCCCTGACTTTCTCGGCAGCCTTTGGTGAGGGACCATGTCAAACGCCTTCTGAAAATCCAGATAGACACTATCCACTGGTTCACCTGCATCCACATGCCTGTTGGCCTTTTCAAAGAACTCTAAAAGGTTTGTGAGGCAAGACTTACCCTTACAGAAGCCATGCTGATTTTCCCTCAGCAAGGCTTGTTCTTCTATGTGTTTTAAGATTTTATCTTGGATGAGACTTTCCGCCCTCTTCCCTGGAACAGACGTTAGGCTAACCGGCCTGTAGTTTCCCGGGTCTCCTGTCCTTCCCTTTTTTAAAGATTGGCATGACATCCTACCCTCTAGTCCTCTGGCACTGTGGCCCTTTTAAGGGACAAGTTGTATATTTTAGTTAAGAGATCAGCAACTTCAGTTCTCAGTTCCTTGATAACCCTTGGGTGGATGCCACCCAGTGACTTATTGGTCTTCAGTTTATCAATTAGGTCTAAAACATCCTCTCTTTTAACCTGTATCTGATTCATTAGTCAGAAGGGGCCATTTGGGCAGCGTAATCTGCCCAAGACCTTCTGTTGTGAAGACAGATGTGAAGAACTCATTGAATTTCTCTGAAATCTCCAAGTCCCCCTTTACCTTCCCTGTACAGTGGTGCCCCGCATAGCCACATTAATCCGTTCCAGGAAAAACGTCGCTATCCGGAAACATCGCTATGTGGGGGGGGGGGGAACCCCATAGGAATGCATTAAATTCCGTTTAATGCGTTTCTATGGGGACAAAACTCACCGCTAAGCGGAAATCCTCAATCCGGCCGCCATTTTCGCTGCCTCGGTAAGCGAGGAATCGGCGCGAAAACACTGTGGGCGGCCATTTTCTTCTTCCAGTGGCCATTTTGGAATCGCCGATCAGCTGTTCCAAAACATTGCAATGCGAAGATCGGTAAGCGAAATGCTCCCCGATCATTGCAATGCGCTGTTTACCCCATTCAGAACATCACAATGCGATCGGTTTTTCGATCGCCAAAAACGCGTCACTATGTGGATTCGTCGTTAAACGGTGTGCTCGTTAAGCGAGGCACCACTGTACCTCCCTCACCACCCAGAGGACCAGCCACTTCTCTGGCAGGTTTCCTGCTTCTAACGTATTTAAAGAAGCTTTTATTCCCCTTTGTATTGCTGGCCAAACAGTCCTCAACGTCTTTCTTTGCCTTTTGTATCATCATCTTACATTTCTTTTGCCAGAGTTTATATTCCTTTTTATTTTCCTCATTTGGAAAGGATTTCCATTTATGGAAGGACCCCCTCCTTGCCCTTCAAAGCCTCTCTAACTCTGCTCCTTAACCATGCTGACACCCTCTTGGACTTAGTTGAGCTCTTCTTTCATCGCTGTATACACACACTTCTGCTGGGCCTCTACTACTGTTGTTTTAAACAGGCTCTATGCATTCTGAAGAGATTGGATTCTTTTTACCTTCCCTTTCAACTGATTTTAACAACTTTCTGTTAAGGCACAGGATATTGATCTGAGTAAAATAACAGGCATGATTTCTAAAGAAACCAAATAACCATCATCATGCTGCAGGAAAATACCCTGGTCTTGAGATGGATTTGTTGTGTGTTTTGTTTTTCAGTATAGCAGTTGACAATGGTTTCAGCTTATTTAATTTAATTCTTGGTACTTGCACATCAAAAATTCAACTGTGGTAGAGCACTAGAGGGACACTATTTATTTAGTTGGCAAAGAAAAGGAATAGGCATTACCAAAAGCCAGATGGTTAGAGGAGCACTCAATATGTGTGGCAATTAAATCTTGTCTTGGTCATACTCTCCTCTGGAGAATAGTAGTAGTGTGTGGTCTACCTCTGTAGTGTGTGTGTGTGTGTCATATAAGAGAGACTTTTGCTCTCTGTATGCTTAATAAAATGTGTTTTTGGAATCCTTTTTTGTTAAAAAATGCACTGTACATGTTAGAGTTTTTTGTTTCTATTCATGACACAGGTATGTGAGAGACAACACCTTTATAAAGCATAAAAAATAAACAGCAACAAGACCCTCATTTTACATTGTGCTCAGTGGGAAATTAGTTTCTGTTTACAGTGGCTTATTTTACAACAATCATCAGCAAAGCAGTAAGATTATAAATGCAGAATTTGCTGTAGTCCACAGCTCCTAACTCACTTTGGTCCTCTGTATGTATACCATAGGTAAATGCAGAATTTGCTGTAGTCCACTGATTCAGTATAAGACAGCTCCTAATTCACTTTGGTCCTCTGTATGTATACCATAGTTACATATATAGGTTCACTACATGCACATGTCTAAAATTATAGCTAAATAAAAAGATAATAATCATTGGAAATGGCTGAATACCTAAAGGAGTTATGAGTATATTCTGTGCTTTCATCATGTCCAGTTTCTGTTTAGAATTCCTTGCACAGGAAGCCAATGACATGAAATTCTGTAGCCTGTGTGAAATACCTTGGGGAAAAAGTGTGCAGCTGCTAAAACCAGAACTGGCTCCACTGCCATGCCTGGGCAAGTAAATAGAGTCACATGAACACTCACATGCAATCTAATACTAAAATAATGTTAATGTACTACCCAAGATACACCATGCCATCCATCAAGCACTGTAATAAAGTGGTCATGGAACAGTCATGCACTAAAATCTCCTTGCCATGGAATAGTAATTATTGGTCCATCTATTCATATGTTTTACACCCAGGTTTTCCTCACAGGAGCCCAAGGTAGATGAGGGGTGGTCCAAGCACTTATACTATCTAACCTGGGGAGTGGAGCATCTTCACTTCTCATTGCATGGGAGCTGTTTCCCACATTGCCATTTCATGTGGCAGCATAGCCCGAAAACCACTCTGCTCCGCTGCAGGAGGTACCTCTGTCCCTGTTGCCTGTGCCAGAACATGGTCCTTTTGCAGCACTTCTGTACAGCAGGATGGATCCTCCTGGGACAATAATGGTGGGGAAATTACGCATTTGCCACCCTCAGCAATTCATCACCTGACATGGTTGCCTAACTGAGCCTTATCGTAGCTCCAGCCTTGACAAATAGTTTTTCACAAAGTAGAGTGTGAAATAGTAAATCAAGTAATCATCAGGTGTCTCATAGGATACTATGGTAAATTTAAACTTTGCTTGAACTAAATCCAACAAATCTTCCTTCTAGCAGATTGGACAGTATTCACTGTCAGTCAAGTAAAAGTGATCTTGCAGAAAATCATTCCTAAGCATATCCTTTTCCCAATTGGAGAAAGAACCCTTGTACCCGTACCCTATAATTGTGTGTGGTAATATATGTATATATGTCAGTCTCACTACAAATTAATTACTTGTCTGGTGCTTTGGGGAGGAGTAGGTATTAAAATGCTACTGGTGGTGCTCTTAAACTTCATGTTTTCTTTGAAAGGTAATATTTTAAGCTGTTTGCCTATCCAGGGAAATTGAATACTTTGTACAGTATATTAAGTGCTGTAGACTAATGGGGGGGGGGACCTATGAATATCAGCCTTGCTTCCCCATCTCACTTTTCAATAAAAATGTCCATGAATATTCAGCAGGACAAAGACAAGAAGTATCTTTTAGATATGTCCATCTACTGCCTTCACATTCTTTTCCAGTTAATTAGTGTATGGTGTCAAGCCTCTGAAGTGGTCAGTAGTTTTGTGTCCATTCTTGGGGAGATAGGTAGGTAGGTAGGTAGGTAGGTAGGTAGGTAGGTAGGTAGGTAGGTAGGTAGGTAGGTAGGTAGGTAGGTAGGTAGGTAGGTAGGTAGGTAGGTAGGTAGGTAGGTAGGTAGGTAGGTAGGTAGGTAGGTAGGTAGGTAGGTAGGTAGGTAGGTAGGTAGGTAGGTAGGTAGGTAGGTAGGTAGATAGATAGATAGATAGATAGATAGATAGATAGATAGATAGATAGATAGATAGATAGATAGATAGATAGATAGATAGATAGATAGACATATCTAAAAGATATTTCTTGTCCTTTTATGTCCTTATATATATATTGAAGTCACTGGCTATATTGGAGAAGTCCCTGCCTCTGGGACTTGAGAGTAGGCTGTCCTGATTCTTGATTCTCCCTCATGTTCTGCAGTCTTACTTAGTGCCTCTTGAATGAAGGCAACTCCCAGCTCTCATTCAGAGAGTTAACTTCCAGGCAGGAACAGGAAAGGGAACCTTGCTGAGCTGTAAGGGCTACTAGAGTTGGATCCACTTCAGACACTGCAGGAAGAGTAACAGTTCATCAGAGCTCCAGCATGCTTATAAAAACAGTAACAATTATGACTTGTCTGCTACCTGTAGTGCAATTCTTTCCTCTGTAAATGAATCAGAGAATTCAGACCCTTGTTATCTAGCAGTACTGATTGTGTGAACAAATTCACAGGCTATGGCATACAGGATCCCCTGAATCAAGATGCATAGCCTATATTTACTGTCTGATCTACATATCTATCAAAGATGAAAGAGTCTTGGACCATACAGTTACACATTTTATTTCTTGGATGTCCAGTAAAATAAGCTTGTTCTAAAATACCACTACCTGATATAGCAAAGAGGCAGTGCTTTTCATGTGGTACTGCCTAACACCAAAAATTAAAAATAAAAACAATACTGAATAGTAAAGTTTGTTCAGAAATATATGGATAAATCTCTTCTCTATTTGGAATATGGATGAAATATGTGACGAGTTAATATTCCTTGGCTGCAAATAGCAAAAGCAATTCAGCAAGTTTATTTCTAGAAGTCCTTGGAAGCAGTCATTTCTTTCCTTTGGCTCCCCCACCCCAACTTTCACCACCGTTCCATAGGGAGTAGATTAATAAAGGGAAATGCATACTGCCCTCCAGCTGGCTTCATTTTTTACTTTCTCAGTGAACTGACACTGCTGATGTGGCAGTTCCTATAACTGCTTTATTAGGCGTTGCATTGTTTTTGTCTTACTGGTTTTGCATTGTGTAGTTACTTTAATAATGTACAATTTGGCGTTGTTTTGTATTAAACAGATTGTCCCCTGGTTCTGATGTTTACGTCACTGTATCATCCATTGCCTTAGCAAGATCACAGCAGTGCCGTAACTCCCCCAGCAACTTGTCATCTTCAAGTGAAACTGGCTCTGGTGGCAGTACTTACAGACAAAAATCAATGCCTGAAGGGTAGGTGCTCATGTGTTCTTTTTCTTGCTCTTTGTGTGTATATTGCTTTTTGCTTTTAATTGGGAGACTGATACTAGCTACCAATCCTATACTAAATGTTCTAAGCTTCAATTATTCTTTCATCCCCACATAGAGAAAAAAAAATTGAAAAACCCAAGTTTCTTGAACGTTGGGTGCAAGCGAGTTCCTTTACTAAAGGAACAGATGAAGCCATAACATGCCCACATAGATGTCAGATGTTTGGCTCTTCCCTGTTTGTCAAGGACTGAAAAAATTTGTCAGATGCCTTTGAAAGTATATATACCTGCCTTTACTAGAGTATATTGTGCAGAGTTGTACTGTAGTAAAAACTCTGATTATCATCAGGGTGCATTTGTAAGGGAGCATTAACAACCCTGCAGTCCTATCATATCTACAATGCTTGGTAAAGTTTGAATTATGTGGTGTATTGGTCTTTATGTGGTCATTACATTGTTCCATCTGAACCTGCAGAAAGCATCTCTAGAACCATGTACAGTTTTGACCCCTGGAGCCCTGCCAACCACAGGCAGTAATTCACTAGATAAAGAACAGCTCCCATCAAGCTGGCATCTCTTTCCCCTAATGTAATACTGTCCTCAAGAGGGTGGGAAGCACTTTCCCATTTCGTCTCTTTTCAGACTATTTGAGAACGTTCTCTGTTACTTTCTCAAAGCTCTTTTACTTAGGCAGGAGCTTCTCTGTATAGGAATGAGCACTGGTACAATCCATCAGTATTATAGGTGGGCCTTAATGCCTATCATCACCATCATTCCATGTAACTAATGGTCCCAGCTTGACAAAGTTTTCTGACAGGTCACTTCTGATGTCTCCGAGAATCAGAGACCTAGTTCTCGATTATCTTTCTCATCTCTTTGCATCTGAAGAATACATCTCTGATTGAAGTATTTTGTGGTAAATTATCCTCTCTAGTTATCAGGGCCTTGCTTTCAAAGCCTACTGGATATTGTAGTGACTGTAGGCTTGAGACAAGGGACATCACCTTTACAAAAGGCTACTCCGCCTGAATCAGTTTTCCTCCATTTCCCCATCCACCTCTTAACACCACTGTTTGAGGGTAAATTAAGAATGTCACAACACAAGTTGCAGTTCTTATTCAGTCTATTTTGTTGGTTTTACAGTTTCTTGTTGGTACTGCAATTTATGTCTTATTTATTGAAATGAGTCCTCCCCTAAAATACTGAGAAGAGAGATCTGTGCACTACAAGTATCTTGATCAGTGAGGTACACCTACCTGGAATTGCTTCTGTTTGTGCCTGATTTCAAAACTGGGTATTTGACTTATTTATAACTGGACCCTTCATGGCACAATGGTTAAACTGCACTACTGCAGTCAAAACTCTGCTCAGTTATAACCTGCGTTTGATCCCAATAGATTCAGGTAGCCAGCTCAAGATTGACTTAGCCTTTTATCCCTCTGAGGCTGCTAAACTGAGTACCCAGCTTGCTGGAGGGGTATGTGTGTTTGGCAATCTGTTGTTGTTGTTTAGTCGTGCCCACCTGTTCGTGACCCCATGGACCAGAGCATGTTCGTAGCTTCTGTAACACTGTCCAACTATCTCATCCTCTGTCGTCCCCTTCTCCTCTTGCCCTCACACTTTCCCAACATCAGGGGCTTTTCCAGAGAGTCTTCTCTTCTCATGAGATGGCCAAAGTATTGGAGCCTCAGGATCTGTCCTTCCAGTGAGCACTCAGGGTTGATTTCCTTTAGAATAGATAGGTTTGTTCTCCTTGCAGTCCAGGGGACTCTCAAGAG